TCTCAAGAGGTTTATACCATTTTTACGAAAATTTGTTTTTTCCCCATATAAAGTACATGGAAAACTTTGAGCGCTGTGAGCACTCCCTAAATATTTTTTGATTTCAAAATAAAAAAATAGGGGTATATTTATTTTCGATTCAGAACAATCCTAGGGCGTGGCGGCATTAAAATTCCGACTTTATTATTTTGGACCACTCTAATGACCATGGTATATTTCCGAAAGAAGTTGATTTGCGTCTAAATTTCTTTCTTTTTGTATTTCAAGGCCATCAGACAAAATGCCAAAAGTACAAATTCTAGAACAGCCACATAGAGCTTTGATGTAGAAGAAAACGTTGCTTTGGACAATGAAAGACCTATTATCTTCTCATTAAAAATGGATAAACATGATAACTTCTTCCAGAAATATAGCACTGTTACTCTGCAAAAAGCTGTTGAACAGTGTTATAATACAGATATTTTTTATTAATTAATTAATTTGTATGAAATAAATACAACCAAATAAAATACGAACATAAAAAGAAGCAAATTCTGTATCCTTTTTAAAAACAATTTATTGGACTTTATACTTTTTCTTATTTTTTGAGGGTCCATCCTAGTAAAACTTGTTTTAAAACTTTGAAGTTTTTCTTAAAAAAATCTAAAAGATTAATCTAAAATCAATAATGATAGTCACATAAGTTAATTTAGCACATATGTGATAGCGTTTTTTTAATACAAACAAACATAAACATATTTCAATGGATGTGATTTTCCAATATTATTATGCGTTCAAACTTTTAAGGTATTTCGTCTCAAATAAGTATATGTATATTGCATTTCTGTAGAACAATGATTCGCACCCAGTTTGAAAGTGCCACCAACTATACTGTAAAGCTTCTAGGACATTTACTATAGAACCGGGTCATTGTTGCCACCAGGGAGTGAAGAGAAAATAATTTATTTCGCTTTGCGAATAACCGTGCTATGAAATGACGCACAACTGGAGAATTTCAAGAACTTCTTCGCGGATATTTGTTAGGTTATTTAAAGCGGCAAATGACCTCCAAACCTTAATCTTAGCAGACGAATGTGCCAATGAAAATCGTAAACGTCAATTGTTGGTGAAATTGTTGGACCAAAAAGTTTCAATAAAATATATAAAAATTTTGGGCGGGACGAAGTTCGCCGGTCTGCTAGTGTTTAGTAATCTTAATTTAATATCCACATAGATTCTTGATATATTCGTCTTGCATTAGGACGGTAAGATGCTCCCTGAAATGAAGTGCAAAGATAAGGCAGATCGACTAGCTATTGTTATAACTGCAGAAAACGTGGAGAAACTGCTCGGCATTGCAAAACTTGAAGAATCTCGCGGTGAGAATATTGCTGATGCTACTGAAAGCTTCTTATGCAAGTGGAAAATGGATAGTTTGGTTGAAATCGTTGCTTTTGACACGACGTCGACAAATACTGACGTTGAAAAAGGTGCTGCACATTTACTTGAAGTAAAATTGGGTCGTGATTTACTTTTTCTACCATGCACCAGAGAACTGCTGGTTAAAGCTGTATTTGATTTGAACTTCGGGAAAACATCTGCATCAGAAGTTCCTATTTTTAACCACTTCTCAAAAAACTGGAAAACTATGAACATCAACAATTTTAAAAGTGGAATAGTGGACGGAGAAGTAAGAACAACATTGTCAGCAGCCGAAATAGAGATACATACAAATTTTTGCCTGGATGCATTAAAATTGGAGTACGCGCGAGGGGATTATAAGGAGTTGTTAAAGCTATCGCTGCTTTTTATTGGTGAAGACGTTCCAAATTTCGCACAGATACGTTTACCTGGAGCAATGACGCACGCAAGATTCATGTCTAAAGATATTTATTGTTATAACATTTTTTTGTTTCGCGAGCAATTTGAAATGACTGCTTTGGAAATGAAAAGCTTTCGAAACATTTCCATTTATTTGATGCCCACCTTTATTTAATTGGTTCGGATGTGTGAATGCTGTGAATGCACTGCGACTAGATTTACAATTAATTCAAGACGCGGTCGTATATTTCGACGAAGAAGTTTCGAACGCTTTATTATGTAAAATTAGAAACCACTTATGGTATTTGTCAGAAGAGGCGATTGCACTTGGATTTTTCGATGAAAAAATTTCCTTTGCATTGAAACGAAAAATGGTTCAAGCTCTTGGTAGTTTAGATGAAGAGCATGAAGAAATTGTAGTTCCAAAACGTTTAACTGTAACAGTCGAACAGATGAAGTCATTCGCGAATAGGGGTATAAGTGATTTTGTCACACCGCGCACAAAACTATTTTTTTCTCGCTTGCAAATCGATACTGATTTATTACAATTGGATCGGTAAACTTGGCCAGATAGAAAAGGTTATTGCGCAGGAAAAAGCGTTTGCCAAAATTTGACCGTTGTAAATGATCCTGCGGAAAGAGCGGTGAAATTAATCACAGATCTTAACCGTGCTTTGACGTACAACGAGGAGGACAATCAATATTTACTCCAAGTTGTAGAAAACTACAGGCAAAAGTATCCATCACACAAAAAATCATATCTTATGACACAAAATATTTAAAATAAAAAATGGGTTTTCCAAAAAAAGGTAAGGTTGGAATTTTAATGCCGCCACCTCCTAGGATTGTTCTATGCCGAAAAAGTTATACCCCTATTTTTTATTTTGAAATCAAAAACTATTTAGAGAGTGCTCAAAGTGCTCAAAGTATTCCATGTATTTTATATGGGGAAAAAACAACTTTTCATAGAAATGGTATAGAATTCTTGAAAATCAATATTTTTCGATCGAAGATCGAATGGTTAAATAAACAATTTTATCGATTGAAAAATATTTATTTTCAAGAACTCTTTACATACATGGAAAAAGTTTAGCGCCTTGAGCACTCTCTAAATATTTTTTAATTTCAAAATAAAAAATAGGGGTATATTTTTCGGTATTTAACAATCCTAGGGTGTGGCGGCATTAAAATTCTTACTTTACTTTATTTTGGGCCACCCTGACGTACATACATATTCATATATAACGTCTCATGAAATAGTTGAATAGTGTTGTGCTTTTTTAACCGATTTAATACTTCAAAAGCTTGCTGGAAAGGTAATTTTACGTTAATTTTAAATAAAGCTTAATGTAGAATTTTTCTAATATATACTTAAAAAAAAATAAATGCAAAATAAAAGAAATTGGTGTAATTTCGACATTTTTGGTCGAAAAAGCTCAACCCGGAACCTCTAGGAATCACCTGAAGGCCTTTAAACTAATTACGTATTTATTTATATACCCAACCTCAAATTATTCTGTGCGAAAACCTTTGGATTCATGCATTTCAAATTTTTCATACAACAAAAAGGCCACTCTAATATACATGTCACGAATAAAAAAATCTTGACGTGCTAGTAAAAAACCAATGATGTATTTTAATTTAACATACCTAGATAATTATTGGAAGAAGTAGCAAAATTTTAATTTCGCAGACCTGTGTAATTTATTTAACCCTTTCCCTGCATTTGTACAATATATTGTACATTTCATTTTTTGTAACATTGGAAGCGTGCTACTAAAAATCTTATTAACATTTTTGAAAACAAATTAAACTTTATGAAGTTTTGGAATGTCCCGAATAGTTTACGTAAATTTCAAAATCGAAAACGTTTCAAAAATATTTTTAGAACTTATTTTAAAAATAGATTATTTTATGAAATTCCAGTGACACGCAAGTTGTGGTAATTTACTGTACAAAAAATACGTGAATATAAAGTAAAATAGCTAGTAAAAGCACATAGTATGGAAATATAAAAAGCATTTCATCATATAAAAATGCTAAAATTAAGCTATCATGACTTAAAATATTTTCCCCGAGTGGTCAAAAAAATTTACAATATATTGTACATTTACACTGAAAAGTTGTAAGTGTCTTGTACAATATATTGTACAAACGTCCGCAAAGGTTGCAGCTGAACAGGCAATTAGGGTGGGTTTTGCCGTGGGTTTTGAAGAGCTTGTGCGCTCTTCTTGCAGTAAAGGGTAGGTTTTTGATTTCTTGATCTACTGAAGAGAGGAAAACCGGGAAGGTTTATTAAAACGGGTATCTTTTATTTTATATTGTAATTGTATATGAAATTTTTCAAAATTTCTTTATATAATTCTCTTCTCATGGAGAAAATTTGAATTTTTTTAATGCAAATCTTAACTAAATATACTTAAAAAGATATAAAATATTCATTCCAACATATCTGCAGTAAAATCATGTGAAGCTCTATGAACCTTGTAATTAAGAGGACACATTTTTATATTCATCAGGGACGGATTTGACCGGAAAGGGTTAATGTATTTGTAAAATATACATATAGGCGCGTATTCATAATCGTATTTGGTTCACACTTACATACGTCGAAAATATTTTAAGTTGCTACTAAAGTTATTTATATTCGGCTTAGATCCGACTTTTCAAGCTAAGCACCAACTTAAAAATTAGTTTTTGCTGCAGCTGCAAGTAAGCCAATTGTTGCCGCGAATTGCGTGTGAAACTCGTCTTTGTTCCAAATTAAAAGCGTTTGATAAACATTAAATTCAATTGTCTTTATTCACTAACAATAGCGCTAAATTTGTACAATAATTATTGCGGGTAAAGCGTTAGATAAAAACTACGAAATATTAAGCGGGTGAACTTCGCGGAGATTGCGGAAAAACGATGCTTAGCGAGCGGGTATTAACAACGAGTGAGTATAAATGTGCAAAAATGTACAAAACAAGAAGGGCGTAACAAAAAGAACGTCAAAGTCGTTAACCCGTATGCGCTTACATTGCTGACATTAACCATTATGTGATCATACACTAATAAACTTAAGAAAATGCATACATGAACTCAACATACCGCCGCGCTTGAACTACCTTGATACGTTCAATATAAAAGTTACAAATGCATAAACAATTTAATACTGGCAAAATTTCAAATGAAAATTATAGATAAGTTGCTATATACTAGACTTCTTCATGAAATATATCTCCTTTCGTTGGTAAGAGGCAGAGCTTAACTATGGGCCGAACTAGTTCGCCTTGCGGTGTCTTCAACGTAACCACTCTTACGCGCCCATCAGCACCAGGATGGCATTTAGTAACTCTTGCCAGCGTCCACTTCGTCGGAGGAGTAGGCTCGTTGCAGACCGCAACCACATCACCTTCTTCGATGTTGCGCGAAGAACGAAACCACTTGGTGCGACGCTGTAGACTGACGAGATACTCGTCTCTCCAACGCCGCCAGAAATGTCGCCTCATGGCAGAAATAGTTTGCCACCGCTGACGAAGATTTCCACAGAACCCTTGACCCTCAGGTTCTGGGATTGACTTTAGTGGTTCGCCAATAATAAAATGACCAGGAGTTAGGACTTCTAAGTCATCAGCATCTGCAGAGTTGTCACAGAGCGGGCGGGAGTTTACGCAGGCCTCTACTTCTGTCAACAGCGTGTTGAACTCTTCATAGGACAGTAGAGTTGCACCCAGTACGCGTTTCAGGTGATACTTAATGCGCTTGACGCCTGTTTCCCAGTATCCACCCATATGAGGTGCAGACGGAGGGTTGAAACGCCACTCGATGTTTGAGTCGGCAAAGAACGAACGTAGTTTAGCATCTGCCATGCACCGCTGGAATGCAATTCGAAGTTCTTTCTCAGCGCCGACGAAATTCGTGCCGTTGTCAGACGACATGACTCTGCAGTAGCCCCGGCGGCTTATGAATCTTTTGAGCGCATTCAGAAACGCTGGTGTTGACAGGTCTCCAACAAACTCCAAGTGCATGGCACCAGTGCACATGCATACAAATGAGCAAATGTAGCCCTTGGTCGCCTTCGCTCCTCTACCATGGGTGAACTTATATAAGTAAGGTCCAGCGAAGTCGACAGCGGTGCGGGTAAAGCAACGAGCGTAGGTGGTACGAGTTGCAGGTAAATCTCCCATAGATTGTGTGGCGAGATTGCGGTTTAAACGGGTGCATTTCACGCATTTATGATATATGCTACGTATAAGGCTGCGAGCACCAATAAGCCAGTATCGGCGTTGCAAGACGGTCTGCATAATGCGGGGTCCAGAGTGTAACGTGAACTCGTGAATATCGTGGACGATTAATTTTGCAAGCGGAGAGTTTTTTGGTAGGATGACTGGGTGCCTTACATCAGGAGTAACTGCAGCATGCTTCAAACGACCTCCAACACGCAAGACGTTTTTCTCATCGAGGTATGGCTGCAAGCGCAAAAGACTGCTGCGAAGCGGGATTGGCCTTTTTGCGCTGCAAAGAGAGATTTCGTTAGAAAAATAGAATGATTGGGTATACCTGATCAGGCGCAGTTCAGCTTCGGATAACTCTTGACAACTCGGAGGACCGAATCGCCTAGCAGCATTGAGCCGAGTATTCACTCGAGCGTTGACAAAGAACCTTAGCACGTAAGCGATGACACGGCGCAGTTTGGAAAACGACGAATACTTCAGCATTATAGGCCAGTGCTCGTTTGAGCTCGTAACATGAGCAACGACTTTGCTTCGAACGCCTATCTCGGTTGTGTGCTGTTTAGACGAGGTTTGTTTCCAGAACTGGTCAGTGCTCTTCAAGAATTCGGGGCCCGTCCACCACAGTTGTTGATGCTGCAGCTCAGATGGAGTTATACCTCTCGAGGCACAATCGGCTGGATTCAGTTCCGAGCGGACATGGTTCCAACACTCAGGAGGAAGAATTTCCTGAATGTCAGCGACCCGATTGGCGATGAACGTCAGCCATTTGCTAGGATGCGCTTGTATCCACGCCAACGTGATTGTGGAGTCCGTCCAGGCATACAGCGGATAGCGGAGATCGTCCCAACTGTGTAACACGCTTTGCACCAACTTAGCAGCGAGATGCGCAGCGCATAGTTCTAGACGGGGCAGCGTTGTTGTTTTAAGCGGCGCTACTTTGGACTTCGACGAGATCAGCGCAACAGTGACCCGGCCGTCGGGTTGCAAGGTGCGCGCGTACATAACGGCGGCGTAAGCTCGTTCGGACGCGTCAGCAAAGATATGCAGCTCAGTGAATGACCCAGTTGCACCTGAGCCAATCCAGCGAGTTACCTTCAAGTTCGAAAGAAGTTGCAGCTCCGAGCGATGTTCCAACCACTTCATTGCAGTAGAGTCAGGAATGACGTCATCCCAACCAACATTGTTACGCCAAATCTCCTGGAACCACATTTTCGATCTTATCGTCGCTGGAGCGAGCAGTCCCAGAGGATCGAAAAGCGTGCTAGCATCAGATAGAAAGGTTCTCTTCGTTAAAATAGCGGGTGGCTTCTTCAAATTAACCACGAACGTTAGGTAATCCTCTGCTGTATTCCACACTAGACCCAAAGCGTGGACATTCTCACCGTCGACTAAGTAGTGAGATATTGTTTTCGATGCATTTGATATTTTTTCGCAAAGTTCCGCACAATTCGATGCCCACTTTCGAAGCTCGAAGCCACCTTCTTTCAGGATTTCGGAGACATTTTGCTGTAAAAGTAGCAGCTCTTCTTTGGACGATGTACCAGTGATGAGATCGTCCATGTAAAAGTCTTTGTGGATGACAGCAGAAGCTTTCTCACAAATGTGCGAATATTTTGCGGTTTGTTGTAGCGATCTCACAGCTAGATGAGACGCGGCTGCCACGCCGTAAGTTACGCGCAGCATACGATAGTCTTGTATGGGTAAACTCGGATCTCGACGCCATACAATTCGCTGTAGATCAATGTGCTTCGGTGCTACGCATATTTGGCGGTACATTTTCGCAATGTCCGCGGTCAGTGCATAGCGATGCGTTCTAAAACGCGTTAAAATTGAAAATAAGTCCTGCTGCAGTTGAGGACCGACAAATAATGCGTCGTTCAGCGAATTTCCGGTGGCCGTTTTAGCCGACGCGTTGAAAACGACCCTCAGCTTAGTGGTAACGCTCGAATCCTTTACAACAGGGTGATGCGGCATGTAAAACATTTGATTCGTTGATTCTGGTGCGAGCTCCATATGATTCATGTCGAGAAGTTCCTGCATGAACTCATTGTAGCGTAGCCGCAGGTCGTCGTCCCGAGCAAGGCGCCTCTCGATGCGTAGTAGGCTTTGGACAGCATAACTTCGCGAATCGCCCAGAAGTACGTCGGTCTTCAGCGGCAGTTCAACTACAAAGCGACCGTCAGGTGCTCTTTGGTGCGTTGTTTCGAAGAGTTCTTCGCAGTGACGCTCTTCGTATGTGAGGTGGGTCTTTTGCGGAGCTTCTTCTAACTCCCACAGTCTAGTAAGAGCTCTATCCAACTGGACATCGCAGTGCAGCGACTGTAGGCGAGGTGCAGCAGGTTCTATTCCGTCGACGCTTCCAAATAGCGTCCAACCAAAGACAGTGCGCTGAGTCATCGGCGTACCAGGTGGACCCTTACGGACTTCTGAGCAAAGGAGCTGTTGCATGACGTCCATACCAACCAGAATGTCGATACGCCCGGGTTTCATGAACTGCGGATCGGCTAAGAATAAGCCTTGCACATGCGGCCACGCTAAAACTGACAAAGTCTGTGTGGGCAAGTCGCTTGTAATCTTGGGTAAGATTAACGCGTTGATAGGGAAGCATTCATCTAAACAATAAGACGACAATGAAAGTAATACCTCACCTCTAGAGCGGCCTCCTTGCGACGAACCGATGCCAGTAATGGATACTGCGGACGCTTTTCGTGGTAGACCTAGACGTTGTACACATGCCTCAGTTACGAAGGACGCATGCGAGCCGGAATCAAACAGCAAGCGCGCGGTTTGCCAATGACCACAACAATCGCGGACTTTGACTAGGGCGGTAGCCAATAGCACAGTTCTGTCTTTTGGACGCGGCGGGTTGGAGCTAGCATTCAAATACGAGGATGTCCATGCAGCAGCGGAGCCTGTGGACGAGGCGATAGCGGATGAAGTGTTTGCGTTTGATTGTAGTGCGGCATTCGGTGCGAGAGGGGATGGCGTGACAGGAGACGCATTGTTGACAAAATGAGCGGTGGTTGTGACGTTAGTTGTAGAGGAGGCATTATGCAGCAGCGTGTGATGACGTTGCTGGCAGATCCTGCATGCAGAGGAGCTATTACATTTTGCCTTGTAATGACCGGAGCTTAAGCAGTTCGTACACACGCGCGCTTCTCTGACAAACTTCGATTTCGCGTTTGAGTCCAGGTTGCGAAACTTATCACAACTATATATTTTGTGAGGACCTTTACAATAGGTACAACCTGAGCTGTTTTGTTCCTGCACTGCGTGAAACACATTCGTGGACTTGCTCGCTGAAGTGGTTTTACCCTTGGTGGGTAGTGATGTTGACGACGAAAGCATGGCCAGAGACCGACACCTAACTTCCAAAAACGTGGACAGCTGCTCGAACGACGGAGGCTCATCACTGACGAGTGATAGCTCCCACTGTTTACGCGTCTCGAATGCTAATTTGTTTACTACTTCGTGTACCAACCAATCGTCCCAAAACTCTACTGGTCGACCTAAAGCCTTAAGTTCGCGTATGTGTTGTTGAAATGCGTCGATTACACTTTTTATTGTGTCAGCAGTATCACTAGTAGCCTTTTTAACATCGGCCATAGCTCTGAGATGCCCTTCCACTATTACCCGCATGACCTTATAGCGCGATTTCAAAAGGTCCCAAGCTTCATCGTAATTAGCGTCACATATTTTGAAGCCACTTATAATTTTTAAAGCGTCACCTTTCAAACAACTACGGAGATAGTGCAGCTTTTGTCCGTGCGACAATGCGGCATTACTATCCACCAGCGAAGAAAATGCATCAAAAAAACCAATCCATTCTGTGGAGTCACCCGAGAATGTAGGCAGCTCCATTTTGGGCAGACGTATCGATGCAGACACTGGCATTTGAGCGGGCGAGGGGTGTGATTCGGTACGACACTTCTGTACGCGATTAAAATTGGCTAAAGCCGTAGAATACCAAGTCTCGGCTTGAATTCGCACATTTTCTTCGACCTCTGTATTATCACTTCCGCACGAGAGTTCTACCGCGTCATGAGCGGTATTGAAACGAGCCCACTGTTCGTTAAGGAGTTGCAGATAACTTTTAACACTTTCTGCGTCCATTAAAAATGCTTCGTCAGTGCTCTTAGCCATATATCGCTTGATGGCATTGAGCGCAGAATCGCGCGTTTTAACGAAGTTCGACATTTTTCGTTTTGCTTTTGACGAGTCGTTCGTAGGTCACAAATTTAATATTTGGCACTTGCAAAGGGCAATTGAAGGACGCGTTAGGTTTATAGAGGTTCTTAAGGTTAAATGAAGGACGACCGCACCAATGTAACAAACGATTTAATGCGCTGAAATCGGCTCTATTTGTTTAAAATCCACGCACGGGATTTTTTTTAGCCTTAAAGTAACTTGCCGTAATTACTTAACTGGGGTTGCACTTTTGTGTTTAGCAGGGATCGCAATTATAGCTCTAGTATTTTGTTTTAGTTCACTTGCGGGTAGCACTCTGTTTTCTTTAGTTTTTATTTGCGGATTATACAATCTAGACTTTTTCTCGTACGTATGTATGTATGTACGTATATTTAATATTCATACAAACTAGCAAGCGGAATTAGCAAATCCGGACCGAAGGACCAGCAATGTTGCGGCGAATTGCGTGTGAAACTCGTCTTTGTTCCAAATTAAAAGCGTTTGATAAACATTAAATTCAATTGTCTTTATTCACTAACAATAGCGCTAAATTTGTACAATAATTATTGCGGGTAAAGCGTTAGATAAAAACTACGAAATATTAAGCGGGTGAACTTCGCGGAGATTGCGGAAAAACGATGCTTAGCGAGCGGGTATTAACAACGAGTGAGTATAAATGTGCAAAAATGTACAAAACAAGAAGGGCATAACAAAAAGAACGTCAAAGTCGTTAACCCGTATGCGCTTACATTGCTGACATTAACCATTATGTGATCATACACTAATAAACTTAAGAAAATGCATACATGAACTCAACACCAATACTAGATAGAAGTATTTTATTTAATTAAGGAACAAAAGACGAAATATGTGAAAGTGAAGTTGATTGGGCGTGATTTTAATAATTTCAAATGATCTCTAACTCATTCTAAAAAGAAAAGTTTACAAAGACCGATCCATTGTAATCGGAAGACAAAAGTTTAACCGTTAAACTTTAACGGGTATTACAATTTTAATAAAGCTATAGCACAATTTTATAATTGAAATGATTTAGATAAATTATCAAATAATAAGTCAATTTCAATTCACAATTTACGTGTGTGTTTGACTGCGGTTGTTCTGCCTCTTTTACACCATTAACAACAAAATTATACCTTCTTCTTTTGCTAAAACATGCAATGAAAGTAAAAATTAATGAGCGAATGATCAAACTTGATTTTATATAAATATTTTGTTGAGAAATGAATTACTACTTTATAGCTTAGTTTCACATACATTTCGTACCATGTAATACAACCGTGCATTGCAGATGTTATGCACATCTTGTTCCTAATTATATTATCATGCATTTATACTTTGAGCTTCATTCTTTAATAAATACTGAATCCAAGAGGTTATGGGCTACATGCCACGCGGTTAAAGGATACGTTTTTAAATAAATTAATAAAAAAAATATGGCAACGCCTTCGTTTACTGCAATGTGTCCCGGGGAGAGACTTCGCGGTCGTGAAAACTTTGATACGTGGAAAAGGCAAGCAAAATCGTGTCTAGTGATCAAAGGTTGCTGGAAGGTGGTCGAGACGGGTGTAGTCTCGGAAAAAGACAACGATTTAAATGAACGTGCCTTGGCAGAGATAACCCTGATGGTTGATCCGAGCAACTTCGGTCACATAGCATCCGCAAATACGGCGAAAGAAGCATGGACTGCCCTGTTGAATACATACGAGGACAATGGACTGACAAGGAAGGTGGAACTTCTACGGCAGTTGGTTAACATTAAGCTGGAAAACCATAGTTCAATGCATGAGTATGTAAATGAACTTGTAATGATTGCTCTAAAGGTCCGAAGTGCTGGGTTGAAAATTGACGATGAGTTAGCAGCATCACTCATGCTTGCGGGTCTCCCTGATGATTTTAGGCCATTGGTTATGGCTGTGGAGAACTCTAAGGAAAGGTTAACTGTCGATATGGTCAAAAATGTCTTACTTCAAGATGCTAAATTCGACACCGGGTCGTCGAAGGAAAATGCGCTTTACACAAATAAGCTAAAAAAATCCAAAAATTTGAAATGTCATAAGTGTAAAGAAATCGGGCATTTCGAGCGAAAGTGCCCAGAGAAAATGAGAAACGCGAGCGAGAAAAAAAGAGAAGTTCTCTTTGCGTAGAAAATGCAGGTATGTGCAAAAGGCGTGAATATGCATGCAAATGCAAAAGAAAAAATGACAGACACTGATGCGCAGTGGTATATAGACTCGGGCGCGACTAATCATATGACAAACAATTGCAGTTTTTCGCAAAACTCAAAGAGAACAGAAAATAAAGTTATTGTTGTTGCCAACAACGATGTTCTTCCCATAGAAAAGAAAGGTGATGTAAACTACGGTTCACCGGCAAAGAAAAGCAAAAAGTAATAACTGTCAAAAATGTTGAGTACGTGCCTAATTTGTGCGCCAATTTGCTGTCCGTAAGTCAAATGGCAGAAGCTGGTAAAAAAATTGTGTTTGAGGGAAGTAGCTGCAAAATATTTAGCAAAAATAATAAGATTTTGGCAACCGCATCCCTCTGCAATGGTCTCTACCGTATAGATTGCAAAATCGACTTAAAAAGCTGTAGTGCATTTGCTGCCAGTAACAACTCCTATTTATGGCACCGAAGATTAGCGCATATTTGCGACAGTAATATGAACAAAGTGAAGGAATCGTGCAGTGGCGTTAGCTTTTGCAAACTTAATGACGAAGTGTGTAAAGTATGCGTGAAAGGCAAGCAAACACGCAAGCCAAATAAAGAGCCAGGAACGCGAGCAAATGATTTACTCGAACTAGTGCATTCAGACGTGGTTGGACCACTGAAATTCAAATCTTTTTCGGGCGCATGATTCATGGTAACATTTGTGGATGACTTTTCTCGCAAGGTATTCGTGTACCCTATAAAAAAGAAATCCGACGCACTTTCTAAGTTTGTTGACTTCAAAGTTGCTGCGGAAATCTTTTGCTCGAAAAAGATAAAAATTTTGCGCACAGACAATGGCAGGGAATACGTAAATAAAAGTTTTCAAGATTTCTTACGAAACAATGGTATTTTGCACCAAAAAACGATGCCATATGCACCTGAGCAGAATGGCGTAGCTGAACGCATGAATCGCACGCTCGTTGAGCGTATTCGGTGTATGCTAATCGATAGTAAGCTAAGTGAGCGTTTTTGGGCAGAAGCTGCCGTAACGGCCGCTTTTATTGTAAATAGAGTACCCTGCAGAAATAACAATCTTAGTCCTGAAGAAGTTTGGTCGAACAAAAAACCGAATTTAAAATTCTTGCGAGTATTCGGCTGCACAGCCATGGTACATATCAGCAAGGAAAAGAGACGAAAACTTGATGCAAAATCGATGGAATGTATAATGGTAGGATATAACGCCGAGAGTAAAGCTTACCGTTTATACAACCCCAAGACCGGCGAGATAATAATAAGTCGAGATGTAGTCTTCCTTGAAAATGATCACAAGCCCGATACCGAAGTGAAAAAAGCGAGGTATATTATCCAATGCTTATATAACCAGAATGTGCAAATTCAGGGGGCGAAGTGAAGGGTAACGAATTTGCAGTCGATACTGCAGATGCTGATGCGGGTGCTGAGACAGACAACGACGAGTATGGCGATGATTTCGTAACTGATGACTTTACGTATCAGGCTGATCCAGGCGTACAATGTGACAATGATGATGCCCTAGAAATTCGAAGGTCAGAAAGACTGTTAAGTAAGGCTCCAAAATCGTACAACTTTTGCGCGTTGGAAACAGTGTCGAATGATCCCAATTCGTTTGATGAGGCTACCGCCAGCGATGATTCGAAGGAATGGAAGAAAGCTATGCAAAGCGAAATGGAGTCACTGCTGTTGAACAAAACGTGGTTTCAGTGACGGCTCAAACAAAGTTTGCAAACTATTAAAGGCTATCTACGGCCTGAAACAATCTGGTCGCGTTTGGAACGAAACCCTTAATAGCGAACTTGTGAATTCGGGGCTTTCAAGAAGCGATGTGCTGTTCGCAGCGCAGGTAACAAGGCCTGACATATGCTACAGTGTGAACGTCTTAAGCAGGTATGGTACAAACCCAGGCAAGGCGCATTGGGAGGCTGTAAACGAGTGATGAGGTACCTTAAAGGCAGCGCTGACAGAGGCTTAGAGTTTACGAAACAACAACAAGGCCATATCGTGGGCTATTGCGACGCAGACTGGGCTGGAGATTTAGACGGGAGGCGTTCGACTACCGGTTACGTGTTCGTGTTTCAATCCGCAGCAATATCTTGGGCCACGAAGAGGCAAAAGACAGTCGCGCTTTCGTCTACAGATGCGGAGTTCATGTCCATGGTAGATGCCATGCAGGAGTCTATTTGGCTCAAGCGCTTAGAAGGGGAGCTGGTCCCACGCGACGAATATTGTTTACAATTGTTTTGCGACAATAAAAGTGCAATTTTGGTGGCACAAAATAATTCCTATTCACCCCGTACTAAACATGTCGATGTAAAGGCAAAATTTATCCGTCAACAAATTGAATGTAAACGTATAGAACTAAAATATCTGCCAACCAATGAAATGACCGCAGATGTTCTAACAAAAGGCGTCACTGCACAAAAGTTAAAACACTTAACGGATAAATTCGGCCTAAAATAAAATTTATCGAAATACATTTTTTTGTATGTATCTTGTATGCATTAAATATGTATGTTAAGATTTATGTAACCAAATTGTATGTGCAACTAAAATTTTTTAAATAATTAATCCAGGGAAGGTGTTGAGAAATGAATTACTACTTTATACCTTAGTTTCACATACATTTCGTACCATGTAATACAACCGTGCATTGCAGATGTTATGCGCATCTTGTTTCTAATTATATTATCATGCATTTATACTTTGAGCTTCATTCTTTAATAAATACTGAATCCAAGATATTTAAAAAATAATAATTTTTTCAATTTATCGAAAAGAAAAATCGGTGACAGGTAACAAAATCA